GTGATAGGGTTTCGGATACGAGGTTTAGTTTTGGGTTTTGGTTGTTCAATGGTCTATTTAGGAAGTTATTTAGAGCATTTTGTACCTCGTGACCACCGATTTACGGTGGCTGGAGCCTTGTTTCTTCCTCTATCGACAGCGAGAAGAGAAAAAGGGATAGAGAGCATTTTTTATTTCTTTAGGGGTTGAGTGAATATGGAATAAATGGGGAATGGTCGGTTTGGCCTTGTGGTTTAGTCACATATATGAAGCTTGAAACGACATAGTTTCGGGGGGAAGGTCGTGTGTTTTGAGAAAGGGGTTAATGGCACTTTAAGTCATTGGTGGTTTGCAATATTTTATTAATATCATTAATGAAGTTTCGAACTATTTGGGTTTGAAACTCACTTTTATTTCATGTTACATTTTCGTCCTAACCTATGTGTTGATATTTATGGTGATATTTTACATCAAGCATGGAATTTAAAAAGTTTTCATTTCAGTCCTAGTCTATACATTTAGGTTAATGAGTATTTTAGGCTATCGATTTATGATTTATTTCCTTTAGATCCTTGATTATATATTAGTTAATTGATTCTTATGATTGAGTTTCTAAATTTGCTTAACTGTTATTTTGGTCCCTAAGCTTTATTTTAGAAAATAAATATTTAGTTTATACTATAGGTCTTAGATTTTAATTTGAGTTCATTTCAGTCATTGTTTTGATTTTATAAATGAAATTGCATGAGTATGCTATATGTACATATTAATGATTTTGTTTTTAGTTGTTTTAATAATTAAATGATAACTTAGTCACCATTTTTGTATGTTTGTTTGCATATAAGTTTAGTCATATTTTTATCCAGTATGCATGATACCCTCATAAGCATCTCTTAACTCGAATCGAAATAAATTGACTAAGGGTAATATTCGTTCATTTTAATATTGTCGTGAAGTGACTGTCTTAACGTATAAGAAAATTACTTTCGATAATTTTAAAATGAAAGTCTATTCCACCTAGTGACACGAATTAAATCAAATATATTTTAAAATTTGAGGATTGGGAAAAAGATCATGTTCTTTTAATTAAATTCATCGAGTAAAGACTGTTAGATCATATCTAAGGTCTCATCTCGAGATATTTAAATAATCGAGCATCTTTATTCTCATTAAATATTGGTAAAATAAATAATTATTTATACTTGCTTGATATATGCTTTTATTTTGCTTTATTTTTTCATGTGTTTTACAATGGGTTTTCAAAATAATAACATTCGAATCGATATTGAGAATAGTAATATCTTTTCATTTTGGTTGGAGTAATAAATGACTGCTTTAAGGCATGAGAGGTCATTTATTCTCGATTGGAAATAATTCAATATTATCATTTTCTCTCGAACTAATATTGATTTTTAAGATGGAATAGTGATATCTCTTCATTTTGATTGGAGCAATAAATGAACGCTTTAAGGTATAAGAGGTCATTTATTCTCAATTAGAAATAATTAGATATTATCAATTTCACTCGAATTGATATTGAATTTTAAGACGGAATAGTGATATCTCTTCATTTCGATTGGAGTAATAAATGACTGTTTTAAAGTATAAGAGGTCATTTATTCTCGATTGGAAATAATTAGATATTATTTTTTTCTCTCCTAAAATTATTTTGGGTGTTGTTATTTTGAATTAATAATGAACTTTAGAATGAAATTTTAATAATTATTTATTTCGATTGGAGTAAGAATCGATTGATTTAAGGTATGAGTGATTGTTTCTTCTCGATAGGAAATAATTAAATATTATTATATTTTGTCCAAAAATTCAAAGAATATTATTTTTAAGGGATCTTAAATTAAATTAAATTAAATTAAATTCAAACTTATAAATTTCATTGCAAAGACAACTAATTAATCGACTAGGTACCAATTTAGGGAGCTGTGGGGGTGCTAATCCTTCCCCACGAGAAACCGACGACTGAACTCAAAATTTGGTAACGCATACCGCAATTTTTTTGTTTTAATTAAAATTAATATTTTTATTGAAATGAAAAAAATATGTTTTTGGGTGCCCAATCACACCCTAATCAAATATTGACGGCGACTCCTCGAACCAATTAATTTTTTTTAAGAAAAATCGTTTCGACATAATGCATGTTCCTTCTATTTCTCCAAGTAAAGCTCTTCGCATTGCAATTCCTATTGTGTCAGCTTGGCCTTATAAGATATGATTTTGAAAAAAATTGAAAGTAAAGTATTAAAATGAATAAAAATATATAGTTTAAGTACTAAATGCATAGTTTACCCTATAAATAAGAGAGAGAGTTGCATTTAATTGATTTGAATTTGGTCCAAATTGATAAACGGTTAAGCCTGAAAGCTTCCCATTTTTGGGCTAATAGGCTTTTTATCGTTCTTTAGGTAGGGGGTTTGCACCCTTAAAATTGCGAGAGAAATTCAGCTTTCATAATCATGCCCCGCTGTTTGTTGGAGTGTTTAGTATATTATTATTCAATTGTATCGGTAAAAAATATTAATTATATTTTAAAATTATATATAATGATTAATCTAAATAAATATTATAGAAGTTTATTATAAAGTTAATTCTTTTAATTTAATTTATTTAATTCATAATATTTAAATTTAAAACATATGATTTTACTTTGAATACATAAAATCATGTCGGTTATATCAGAAAATATTGCCTTTAATATCCACTCAAGACATGCCTATAGATTCCACTCAATATCAGAACCAATCACGATGTTTAACTATTACTGACAACGATTTGCAATTATAATAAGAATAGAGACGCATGATAATGCGGGAGTCTTTTAACAAGTGGAGAACACAATCATAAACCCTAGATATGGAACTGCCGACGCCAAGGTTTAATAAAAGCTACACTTTTTCTTCTTCTTTTCATTTTACCAATACTTTGGACCACCAGGCGGCAGATTGATTACTTACTAATTTTTAACAATCGTACTTGATGACAGTGTAAGCGCACGATAATTATAGTTTTAATTAAGTTTCACGTGAAACATGACACAAACGGAACATTCGTAGGGGTTTTATAAAATGAATAAGAGAAGCCTCTTACATAATATTCTGTAATAATTTGAAAAACTTTTATATGTGAAATTATAGGTGGTGTGAGCGGCAGGAACATGCAATATTATACCATATCTTCATTAAATAAAAATGTGGTGGATTTTGTTGCTTGATTGTATCCCCTTGCAATTGCCTGCATGTGTATCCGTAACTGTTACGTTCATTCTATATATATCTTTTAATTAAGAATGAATATTGGATATTTTAATTCCGAGGAGATCAAACAGAATCAGCAAATGTGCAATGCCAGCAAGAACAGTCAACTAAAAGGAACACTAAAGTTGCAGAACAAGTATAATTTCATACCTAAAGCAGTTGGGAGATATTGCTGAGAAACGGCATTTGTATATGCTGGAAGCGGCGGCATCAAAACTCTTATTTTCTCTTAGCTCATTGACAAGTGATTCTTTGATATTAAAAATTTAATTTAAATGTAATACAATTAATTTAAGTTGTGAGTTAATGCAATAAAAAAACAAATGATTGAATTAATCCGAATAGATTATATATTGTAAACATGTTTATGTAGATAATTGACATCTTCCAATACATAATATATATTTTTAAAATTAAGGGTTTAACAAATATCTTGAAAAAAGTATGCACTTACTATAAGCACGGGCTATGCAGATAACTAACCCTATAATTATTTTAAATTTACACATGTTATTTTTAACCATTATAATCATAAATATATTGATGGATAAACCATTGTTGACTATATATAAACCTAGCTATACATATTAAATAATTATTATATTAATGAATAAATATATTAATATTTTATACCATTATTGATTATGTATATTAGTAGTAGATCCAAATATTTAAAAATGGGTATAAATATGTATGCACTTGACCCTAATGGTATAAAATGAGTATAAAATAGATTAGGAAATGGGTATAATACATTTATATCATTTTCCTAATATAATATTTATGCATATAAAATGAATATTAAAATAGATCCAAATATTAATATTTTATACCATTGTTGACTATATATAAACCTAGCTATACATATTATTTTGTATAAATTCTTGAATCTAATTTAATATATTAGGAAAAAGAGGAAAAATAAAAAAAATCATACCCATTTCCTAATATATTAAATTAGATTCAAGAATTTATACAAAATAATATGTATGCACTTAACCCTAAAAAGAACAAAATGCATTCGTCTCTTATTTATATGCACTTGCTCTTAGTTACGCAAGTAATTATGTCTATAATAATTTTTAGTACATTAATATAACAATCTATCTATATACTTTTAATCGTCGATTGAGATTATTATTAGTACAACGCATGTGAAAAAATAGAACTTACTTAAAAATTCAATATCAAATTCATAGATGAGATACTTTTTTAATTAATCTAAACATTGTATAAAAAACATAAACAATATTGGTTTATCCAATACATTGGAAAGTAAGAATGACGGGGTATTTTTTCCTTTCTCCACACGGATCCTTGTTAGCTAGGAATAGGATAAACGAAACAAAAACACTTCTATTGGATCCTGCATGCCGTATACTCTATGAAATCCCTTGCATGCGTCAAATTCATGACCATAATACTAGGAAACTCGTCATTCTTCTTTTGGATTACTAACATCTTATCCATGCGTATGAACGGAATTACCATATATTCCCATGATTTCCAACTGTCTATGAATTTTACACGTACACAGATATTACTTGTAGAGCATTTATCTTCTTTCACATGTATTTGTAAATCCATAAGAATGTCTATCTAATTGAGCGATCATCTCCTTCCCTCGAACAACCTAAACAAGCAGGAGGGACGCTGTTGTCAATTTACCATCCTATATATATATATATATATATGAAAGCTACATAATGTCTTTTTCTCTCTATATAAACCCACATATAGCATCACTTGTTTCCATCTTTGTATATCATCTTTTTCATTCCTTCTTGTGTGTTCTCTGTTCTATCAACAATGCCTGCTCAACTTACACCTCAGAAAATGATTCAGGGAGATGATTTCGTAGAGCAAAATACAATCTCCCAACCACTCTCGCTACGAAGGTACCACCTCCAATGCTTAATTTTCTTGAATTATATAGCTTATTCAAAATTTGTTGATTTTTGAATGATTACCGTTTCTTTAGGCTTGAGGAAAAAGTTGCCATCATAACAGGCGGCGCCAGAGGGATTGGAGAAGCCACGGTTCAACTTTTCGTGAAGCACGGCGCGAAAGTTGTCATTGCTGATATTGCCGACGCTGCCGGCATTGCTTTAGCCAACTCATTGGCTCCTTCAGCAGTTTATGTACATTGTGATGTAAGCTCAGAGGAGGACATAGAGATGTTGATCAATAGAACAATTTCATTATACGGTAAACTCGACATACTGTTCAACAACGCCGGAGTTCTAGGGAACCAGTCCAAGAGGAAAAGCATTGTTGATTTCGATGCAGACGAGTTCGATCGCGTAATGCAAGTGAATATCAGAGGAGTCGCTCTCGGAATGAAGCACGCAGCAAAAGTGATGGTGCAAAAAAGAAGCGGTTGCATAATTTCCATGGCAAGTGTAGCAGGTTGCATGGGAGGGCTGGGGCCTCATGCTTACACGGCATCGAAACATGCCATTATCGGGCTTACAAAGAACACCGCTTGCGAGTTAGGGCGGTATGGCATAAGGGTTAACTGCATATCTCCCTTTGGGGTGGCCACATCCATGCTTATCAATGCATGGAGAAGTAGTGAAGTAGATCACGAGGAATGCACGGATTTGGAAGCGGAGGAGATGGAGGAATTTGTGAGAGGGTTAGCCAATCTAAAGGGTGTAACCCTCAAAGCCAAAGACGTGGCTGAGGCCGCACTTTATATGGCTAGTGAAGAATCAAGGTACATAAGTGGTCATAACCTTGTAGTCGATGGTGGCTTCACCACCTTCAAAAATTGCGTAGGCTTGTAGAATCGCCTGCCTATTTTCAATTCTTTAGCATTTAAATTGTGTGTTAACCAGCGAATTGTAACAACATATATTAGTAATGGTGTTGTCCCTCATAAGGGTGGTAATGTGTTTCCTTATAGCTTGACAATCTTTCTTGTACTTTTATTTTTATTTTTTCATCTCTCCATTTTACTGTTTATGCTCTGAACGTGTGACTATCATTTTTATTAATATCACGTCTAAAATTCAAATTTAAATACAGCACACACCACCTTTTGGTTCCTGCTTTAAAACTCGTATTATCATTAATCTATGCACATGAAACAGTTTTGGTAGATTCTGCAGGTGATGCCTTTAGAATTACATACTATACGAGTATTCCTGTTGGAGGCAAAGGCTTGTACGAACACAAACATTCTCAGGGGAATGTTGGTTCACATACCTTTTTTTTTCTTTCCTGGGCAACAGTTTTTGCTTTCTGGTCAGACATTAGCTGGGGCTATCATTTTATTCCCACAAAAGTAGGAACCGTATCTATAAAAAAATAAACTATAATAATATATAGGTTAAATTACATCATTGGCCATCCAATTATTAGAATTTTTCCACTTTGATCATCTAATTGTTTTCTATACAAATTTAATAATTATTTTTTTCCTTTTTTTCTACTTTAATCACTAGAGTTAAATTTTTATTAAACTTTAAAGAAAATAATAATGTGATCTGATACAATATTCCCTCCTCCTCCCATTTAATTGGTCCCTTTTAGATTTTAAAATTGTTATATTTAAAATGTTTTATTAAAAAAGTCAATAATGAATAACACTTGTATTCATTTTTTTACCTTTATTTGTTTCATTCTTTTATATTCATAAAATCTCAAAATAAGACAAAAATAATGAGATGAAGAAGTAAAAATTTTAGTCCCAAAACTTATAATGGTCATTTTATAGAGTTTAACTTATTTTATTATTTTTCCATAATTTGATTCTCTCACTTTTCACAAACATCTTTTTCCATCAAACCGTCTTCGTCCACCTTCACAATTATCTTCTCCAACGAGATTCATAAATATGAAAATCTAAAATCAACCATTAAAATATGTGAAATTTTCAATTAGTTTTAAACTCTGGTCTTCTTTGTTATTTTGGATGTGAGATTTTCAGGAGGGTTTAATGGGTTTTGGAGTGAGTGAATTGAAGGCTCACATAGATTGTAGGATTCAATTTTGTGTGTACAACATTGGTAGCTATCGTGTCCGTAGCGGTGAACCCCAAACAGCGCGACAGTGGGCCGCAACCATACGACCAACACCGAAACCCATAATGACCTCCTTAACTGCCTTCCGAACCCAACAATGCAATCACCCCCCGCCGTCAGAAGTTCCATGAAGTCGCTTATTGTTATTTGTCCACACCCTCACCCTCCTCAATGTCATTGCCTTTTTCTTTATCGGCTTTTACCCTAATATTTATTGGTTGTGCCTATCATTTTATTTCCATAAACTTGCCGAAGGTCGTCGGGCTTGACCTAGTACTTTGGGCCCTGTTCTTTACCGAGCTCTAATAACCACACTCCACTGTCCACACACATATATAAACTCACCAGCGCCAGAGGGAATGGTACAAGATTGGGTTAGTTCTTGGTAGTCAACTGCCCCAACCCCACAGCGTGCTAGCGAGCGATCATAAATACGAGCCCATTCTCAAAGCGTGCACTGTTTTATAGGACATTCCAATTAATAAATATAGGTAATGTAAAAAAATAAAAAGAATAGATATTGATCTTTTAAAATATTTAAATATAATGTTTTAATTGTATATTTATTGCATAAGTAAAGACAATATCTTTACATATGTTTGTGTTTATATTACATGTGTCTTCGACTTATACTATATGTATTTTTTTTACATTGTATATTTTTAACTAAAATATTGTTTCCCCCCTGTCAAATTTTCCTCAAAAAAAGTAATGATTATGTTTTATTCATTTGACTGTATGATCAGTGAATGGTTGCATGTTTTGTCTTGTAGGAATAGCTCTTAGTCTTGTTGAACAGATTGTTAAGTAGCACCAATTTTGTGGTGCCGTAAGTAGTTGAGTGCAGACGGTTGCAATGCAATTATGAAATTAAGAAACACTTTGGAGCAATATTTGCCTCACAAGTATGAGACTGTCAATGATAGAGAAGCGGTGACGGATTAATGAACGTTGCTTTTGTTGAAGAATCAAATCTAAAAAGCTCTAGATTCGATGAAGAACAAATGGGTGAATAGGGGAAGGTGGCGGCACCAGCTAGGATTCTTTAGGGTTTCTTTGAGGTGTTGGAATTAAGCAAAAAGATTAGAACAAAATAAACAAAAGATAAAGAAATTGAAAGTAAAACAAGATAATAAAGAAATCAAAATATCTCCCTTATGAATGTGGACGGTAATGATGATTGATGGTGCGGATGGGTTTGTGGAAAATAGATGGATAAGTGTCCCATCGAACCCTCCTAGTCGCGATGAAAAGACAAATTGGAGTGTGAAGATTAATCCCCCTCACAAAAACTTGAAAGAACTCTAGGAGAAGAAGCTTTGAAGACACAAGGCAATCAACACTTGCAAAAACAAACTCTTGTTGTATTATTAATCAAAGAAATATGTGTTACAAAGTTGAACGAAGCCTCCTTTATATAAGGGTTAAGTTCTAAAGATCCTAAATAACTAATGAATAAAATAATAACAAACTAAACATGTGTTAACTCTAATTCCTAATAAAATAATAATAACTAAAATTAATGTTTTAACTCAACCTTAATTCCTAATAAAATAATAAATCTAATCCTAAAAGATAATTCATCATCTTATATTAAATTATATTATAAATAATCAATATAAATATTGAAAATTCATAATATTTATAAAATCACGTATTAATCTCGTATAGGAATCTCTACATGTGTTGTCTTCACTAAAATGAACGTATATTGAGTTACTGTTATCGGATTGATGCGATTCAAGAACCGTTGGAAAGCTAAGAGACAAACAGTTGTATATCCAGAAGACATGTTGACCGAATAAGATCAGGATCCCATTCAAAAAGCTGTCGTTAGTCTGCTGCTGTTCTGATCTTCTTTTCCAAAGCTTGGATGAGTGGATCATTTGGAAGAGTTATTACTTCTTCGTTTGATGTGAGCCTTGCGATGCATGTATCATCATTTCTTTCTTCAAAAATACTCGACCTCGAATCTGAAACATTAAAGGGAGCAACATTAGAATCGTTTAATGATTCATTCACATTATGCTTACTGAATAGGTATGCTTTTAATATTCGAGACTCTAATAGGTTTGAGTAGAAACATTAGTCCAAACAAGCATGTATTATGGAATCTGGTGCATGTATCATTCCCCCACTCCTCAAAAGGATTAGTCCTCGAATCTAAAAATCCAAGAGAAAGAGAATTAGATGTGTTGAAAGGAAAACTTGTGAAACATTTACCAGAATCATTGTGATATGTCTTTATGCTTTTTAGTCGAGGTTTCTTCTTTGTAGGAATTGATTTTTTGTAATCTTGAAATCCTCTTTTGCATACAAGTCTTGTAATCTGATGTTAAGTTTGAAATTCAACATGACACCGGTTATTGTTGGCTTTCTTTATGATTGTTTCAGATATTTTCTCCATGGTTTGACTTGTGTGTGGTGAGAATGAGTGTTGAAAAACCATGTCAACTGGTTTGTGAAAGTAATCCCTTAAGTCTCCTAAGTGTGGTTCATGAATTAATAATTCTCGGGAGGAGATTTTTGGATTGCAGAACCTTCGTGGTAGTACATAATCTATTGTGTTTTGCTTACCTCGGTCTTTTATACACTTAAAGGGATTATGTTTAGTATGGATGACAACTTCAAGAGTCTTACCTTGTAGAAAGTAGAAGAAGTATGTTACAACATCATTAGAATAAGTAATAAAATACTTACCTTTAGACTCTCGTAAATCATGACTCTTTATTGATATAGCATATGGATTAGGGATTTCAGGTGGTAACCCACAGGAGGGTCACCTAACACCATTTGAAAACTCTTGGTGATGGAAGATGGTGTGGACCAGTCTCGTGTTGCTTTTACTTTTTCATCATTTACATGGATGCCCTGTGCACGAACTATAAAGCTAGTGGATTTATTCAAATCATGTTTCGTCATTAAGATGGTGTCACGACTAAGGCTTTCTTGAATGTAGTATTTTTGTAACAAATCTAACTCTTTGGTTTCTTCGAGATTGTATGTTTGATGAGGTATGATGGAACCTTGAATTAGATTGGTTTGGTGTTATTTTCCTCTTTCCAGTGGTAATCCATCAGGTGGATCACCTAACACTTCTAGAAAATCCTATAAAAAAAAGATGAAAACACACTAGACTAATCCTTGTTAATGTTAGAAATCAAAACAATTGTTTCCTTAAAGCGAACAAGGATGCAAGGCTCTTTGTAAAGAAGGTTCTCTCTCAATTCTTTTTCTTCTCACAATTAGGTTCACTCACCTCCCATGGGTCATTATTCTTTTGGTTTTTGTAATAGTGACCTCTTTTGCTTTTTCCTCTTTCTCAGCTTTTTCTTTTTTTTTTTGCTTTCCCTACCTCCTCACAAATTCTCATTTGATCTTTAGAGGCAGGAGGTGTGTCATTCTTTGCTGGTCATTGTTTCTCCCTGTTAGGTTTGTCATCTCTCGACTTTTTTTTTGAGAATGTGGAGTAGAAGATGATGAAGTATTTGAAGGATTACCTTGGTAAGAGGATGAAGTACTGGTAATGTTTTCTGAATTGGAATCTCCTTTGGAGGTGTGTCATTTTTTGGAATCTCCTTGTAGTAGTCTTCAACTGAACTTCTACCTTATCGAAGTCGTAGTCGTAGTTTAACTTCTTGTGTATAATGTGTCGGTAGGAATCGCTTCCTCATGGTTTGTTTGAGTTCAGTCCAAGAAGTGATTGCTTGAATTTGGAAGTTCTCGATCTTTTTCCTTGTTTTCATCCACCAAGTTCAAGCATATCCTTCGAATTGCATGGTGATGAGGGGAACTTGTTTAGCTCGGGGGCAGTCATGGTATGTA